TGAGTTTTTTGGGTTCATTGAGAACATGGTTGTTGTTCAATAATAAAATTATTCCTCAAAAATACAACTTGCCTAATAATTCTGCACTCCCTGTATATTGAATGTGTGTTGCAAGCATGTAGCTAAGGCCCTAGTCTTCAAGATCTTGAATTTCTACCTCTGATAGAACTTAAACAACATCCAGAGGGAGGCTGGGGATACAGAGTCTGAGAGAGTCTGAGTGGACCATGTTCCATTTATTGTCACTGCCAAGATATTTGTACAGAGTTTTGCCCATAAAATCATTGGCACCAGTCATAGTGGTTTCCTCAGAACCAGATTTACACCAGAGATGAAGGAATCCATTGAGCTGGAGAATGAGTATGTGGTGGAATTAAGGCATGACGGGACCACAGATCCGTGTTTTGAGCCATGTTTATTTTTACATTTGTCCCACCACCACAACAACCCTCTCAATCCTGCTTCCCCGTGATTTAACTGCAGGTGCATCCACAAGGCACCACAGACCACGCCCCACCACACACCCCATCGCTCGACTGAGGCCAGGGAGCCATCCAGCTGAACCTACCTACTTCCCCCGCCCCACCGGCCTCAACCCAACGACAGGGCAGTGTCTTTTGCTGAGGCCGCCCAAGTCTCCTGCGGTGATGGCAATGCTGGTCCGGAGGCCGGCCACACTTATAGCGGCAACGCTGGCCCGGCGGTCGGCCACCTGGCGAACTGGCATGACCGTGCAGGCACAGCCGTGAGCACCTGCTCACTGCCGGCTGGACCGGCATCAGCCCGTGTCTCGCTCTCGGCCCCAGGTCGTGCAGGTCCCCCTAACACGGGGACCTCCGTCTCCCCGCGCAGCTCCTCCATCGTCTCTGGCTGGAGCAGCTGCTCCACTGCTCCACCGCTCCGCGCAAGGTGGTGCCCAGGGGCATCTTTTCAGGTGGCGCTAGGTCTGTTCCCACAGCTCTTCCTGCTGGTGACACACCTCCACCGCCTGCTCCCGCTGGTCTCAATTTATGGGACAGAAATTCTAGGTGGAACCAAGTGGCAGGCATACTCCCTTTTAGTGGTGTCAGGATCACATCTGGTTTTTGCAGGTGACGTGGTTCTTCTGGCTTCATCACCTGATGACCTCCAGCTTGCACTGGGACCGTTCACAGCTGTGTTCCCAGTTGGAAAAGAGTGGAAAAGTTTTTGAAGTGCAGCTTAGTATTTTCCATTAATGTGTCTATATGGGTTCTGCTAACTTTGTGCAATTGAGAAAAAAAGATGTACATTTACATTTTTCAGTATGACAAAAATAAGCACATAAAAGAGACCTTCAATGCAGATGGTCAAAATGGCAATTCCAGGAGGTTTAAACATTCCATGTTTTGTTGAAAACTAAGTTGGAAGCTGGTCTTTGGGTCTTTTAATTCAATGTGCAACATCAAATGTTTTGATTTATCATTGTGTTCCAGCCTCGCTGCATTGTTTGCATCAGCAGCAATCACTATCACCCACCTGGGACCACCCTGAAGGCCGGGTTTAAAATACTAAGCAAGTACGTACTGTTGACTGTTTGTCATGAAAATTTAATGATAATACAAATTATTGTTACTAATATGTATCATAGGCATTTTCACAAGGCACATTTCGATGAGAACAACTATATGAGCTGGAGAAGTTTTGCTCTGGATCTTATCGCTGACCCCTCAAACAACGTGGAAGTGAGTGCTGTATTATACTGCATTATACTATCAGTAGACCTAATGACCTCTCCAAGCCTGAGTTGGACCTCTTAGTTCCTGTGGGATTTTTAAATCTGCTTTGTTGACAGGTGGGGAGAATTAACTGCCCGATGCTGCTGGTTAATGGCTGTGACGATCAGAACTGGCCTACAGTGGAGACAGCGGAGGAGGTTAGTGATGCTCTAAGACAGGGGTCTCAAACCCGTGGCCTGGGGTCCACTTATGGCCCATGTCATCCCTGCTTGCAGGCCGTATATTGACATGAAGAAATATAATGCAATTTGGCCTTTGAAGTTACTTTTTTTTTTGTTAGGGAGAATTTGTTTTTTGTTGAAAGCAATATTAAAAAAGGTTCTTTAAAAAGCAAAACATTATTTAATATAAAGGCAATATGAGCAGAGAGCCCAAACATGTTGAGGGACTGGCTGTGTTAGTTCAGTGAGAGAGTTATTTGTAAAGAAAACTATTTTCACTAGTAGTCCAAAACTAATGCGTACACTTATTTCTGCATTTTTATTTTGTTAAATACAAACAAAATTATAGCAGAAGTGCTGCCACGTGTCTGGCCATTAAGAGAGAGTACCAGTTTGTTTATTTGGTAGTTTAATGAAAGTTAGTTAAGAGTGAGGGGGGGGAAGAATATTTCGTTCACATTTGAATTTATGGTTTGTTATACAGTATTTGAATTTTTTTTTTTTTTTTAAATATTTGTGCATGGTTTCTTGTTTTGTTTTTTGTTTTTTTTAAGTTTGTTTTCTACTTGAACACCAAAGTGGCCCTCCAATGAGATGACAGTGCCAGCAATGGACCACAGCTCATTTAAGTTTGATACCCCTGTTCTAAGAGCATTGGTTTAAAAGATGTATTCACACTCCAAAAACAATAAAAATTTCAGAATATGAACTTTGTTAAATGATGATGTCAGCATAAAATTAAAGTTGACTTCTGACCCACAGGTGGCCAGGTTGTTGCGTGAAGGTGGAAAGGAACACCTGCTGAGCAGATTAGCGTATCCGGGTGCTGGACACCTGATTGAGCCGCCATTCTCTCCTCATTTTAGAGCTACGAAGTTTATCATACTAAACAGTAAAAAGAAGGGTCAGTTTCTTTCTCTCTCTCACATACTCACACACACTTCAACCTGACTAACAGGAAGAATTTCTGGTTGTAACCACTATACAGGGAGTGCAGAATTATTAGGCAAGTTGTATTTTTGAGGAATAATTTTATTATTGAACAACAACCATCAAATCAAATCAAATCAAAATCAAATCACTTTTATTGTCACATCACATGTGCAGGTACATTGGTACAGC